CTTTTGGCCAAAAGTACATTTTTTTCTATTGGCAAATAATTGATGTTCCTTCAAAAGTTGCAGTACTAGCTGAAGATGTCTTGTATGTTCCTCCTCTCCTTTACTGTAGATTAAGATGTCATAAAAAAAAAACAAGGACAAACTTCTGCAAATAAGGGCGTAATACCTCATTCATTAAAGATTGAAAGGTTGATGGAGCATTAGTTAACCCAAAGGGCATTACTGTAAACTCATAATGCCCTTCATGTGTCCTGAAAGCAGTTGTAGGAATATCTTTTTCCCGCATCTGAATTTGGTGGTAACCTGATTTGAGGTCCAGTTTTGAAAAAATAGCTGCTCCCCCCAATTCATCCAACAATTCATCAATAATGGAAATCAGAAATTTGTCTGGAATTGTAATCTTGTTGAGGGCCCTATAATCCACGCAAAATCGCCACCTCCCATCTTTTTTTTTAACAAGAATGACTGGACTAGAATAAGGACTTACACTTGGCCTGATGATACCAGAGACTAACATATCACTCACAAGTTTCTCTATTTCTGTTTTCTGATAATGGGGGTACTTGTATGGCCGTAAATTGGGTATGTCCGATCCTTCTTTCAACCTAATGGCATGGTCTTGTCTCCTTGGGGGTGGTAGGCCTTCTGGTTCTCTGAATACTTCCTCAAAATCCTCCAAAATTTTATCAAGTTCCTGAGGAATAGTGCGCTTTGCATCATTTTCATTAGTTAATTCTTCACCTTCGATGAGTTTGCAGTCAAGGAAAAACCCTTGTGCCTCATGTTGCAGAGCCTTGACCAACTCCTTGAAAGACACAGCAGCTCTGGAAAGTCCTGGTTCACCTTTCAACTCCATTATTCCCCCTTTCACAGGCACCTTCAATGAGAGTTCCCTGAAGTTAGCTCTGATTTCTCCCAAACCAGCCAGCCATTCCATGCCTAGCACCACATCCACCCCTCCTAGGTCAAATATGAAGAAATCTTGTTGAATTCTTAGTCCTTGAATTTGAAGTGCTACCTGAGAACAAACCCCTTTACACTTAATTCTTCGACCATCCCCCACTTCCACAGTGTATGTTGCTGTCTCAGTAACGGGTAATTGTTTATCATGAACAAACGTGGATGATATGAAATTATGGGACGCTTCACAATCCACCAATACAGCCACCTTTGCACCTTCAATCTCACTCCACATTTTGATGGAATTTTTTTGAAGTTAGTCCAGTAATACTACACATTGACAGCTGTAATTCTTTAAGATCTGCTCCATCCTCTTCTTCAACCCCTCCTTCTTCCCCTTCACTTAAATCGTTGCTTAGGATTAGCACCTGGAGTTGCTTATTTTTGCAAATATGCCCAGGACCAAATTTCTCATCACACCGAAAACATAATCCCTTTCTAGTTTTCTCTTGAAACTCAACATCCCCCTCCCTCTATAAGAAATGGTTGGTTTATTGCTATTAGACTCAACAGAGCTAATTCTTGTGCTGTTCCCAAGATTGTGGTTCTTGGTTCCCGTTTCCCATGTCACCGTTCTTGATGAAGGATAGCTTTTGTGTGAACCACCTACCTTATTATTTCCGGGAACCCCTTGGCTCAACAACAAATTTTTCTCGTCAATTCTTTGGGCAAAATCCATCAATTCTGGTAGACTTGATATTCAGTGCAACTTCAACTTTGCCTTGACTATGTCTTTCAGTCCGTTCAAAAATATCCCTTTCAAATACTCAGCCTCGGTACCTTTAAGGGGTCTTGCATACAACTCAAATTGCTCATGATACTCTTCCACCGTTGTCTCTTGTTTGAGACTCAACAGCTTTTCATACGCATTTTGTGCCATTGAGGGTTGAAATCTCCCTATTAAAGCGGTGCGGAAATCTTCCCAAGTAGGGTTCTTGGAACAAAATTCCCACCATTGGAACCAAGTTAATGCCTTGCCCTCCATTGCTACCATTGTCGCTTGCAACTTTTCTTGCTCGGAGATACCCCTTAAGGTAAAGTATCTCTCTACTCGACTGACCCACCCGTAAGCGTCGTCTCCGGAAAATAAGGGAATCTCCAATTTCCTCCATCGATCTCCCCCGGACTGCCGTCTCTACCCACTGCAATTGCTTGAGTTCCCATTGCTCTCATGGTCGCTGTCCTCGGATTCCGCTGCTGACTTCGCGTCTTCCTGGTTCTTTCGATTGACAATGAACATCAAGTCGTCGAACCGTTTCTGGGTTTCCTGCCTGTCCTCCTCGAGCTTCGTAAGCAGGTTTTCAAACCCTCGCTCCATACTATCTAACCGGGCTTCCATTGACGTATACACCATGAATATTCTCCCAGGTTCAAGAGCTTTGATACCAGTTGTAAGGAACTGGTTCAATTTTGTAAAGTAGAAGTAGAAATACTGAATGTACTTTTATTGAATGTTCTCTGTCAAGAGAAATATCCCAATCTGAGAGAAAGAATCAAGAATACAAGAATATCCAGGACTTTGAGAGCTTGGTCTCTCCCCAATCGACCAAATATTAATCCATCGCTCCAAAATTCCCTTTTTCCCCCTGACCCTATTTATTCCCTTTTCTTTACATTTTTCTCAGCTAATTGGGCCTCTTTTCTGCTATTGGGCCTTCTTACATAGACTTTACTAATTGGGGGTTTGGGCCTATTACTAACACAAACATCAAGGACTAAGACTCTGTTGTGTTGTAAGGCTCTCTCTTAGAATGATCTTGCAAACTGTCACTCTAGAATTTACTTTTTCAAGCCTACAGACATACGATATTCTAACCAAAGGGCTGCCACAAGTTACTTATGAGAGTCTAAGTTCCAAGCTGGGGATGATTGACATTTAGCACCCAGCTTGAGGGAGAGTGTTGGAGATCAGATCATTCTGTTCAGATTTGGTCAATCAGATCAGAATTAATCAGGCTATAATTGAGGAAATTAATCTTCTTTTTTACTTCGCTGATTTTATTATCTTTATGATAGGATTGGCCAATTGTATAATACTTGAAAAATATAATCATCTAAATATGGGATTAGAGACAGATAGGATCTTTTAGGATTTTAATTATTTGTTTCCTGCTTTAGCCCACTGACTAATCTGTGGCCGTATGCGGGTAAAAAAAAATAAAATTCCTAATTACTATAGCATGAGGCAAGCAACCACATTTGTCTTTCAAGGATCACCAAAGCAATTTATCAAATTAAAGTTTAAGACGAGAGGGGGTTTAATAAAATGAATAGAACAAAATCTAAAATGAGGAATTTGTCAAATAATCAAACTCATTAACAACACTCAATCATTGAATCCAAAATTATGTGGTCACAGGAAAACTTCATGTATTTGATTAACATAAAATTAATTAAAATTCGAAAACCTCTAGAATTTAATTAAAACGTGTTAATTTTTCATACCACTTAATTAATCCTAATTTTCTAAAATTGACTCATACACTTCAACCGAATAATGATGAATCAAATACCTTTATTTCTTGAAATTAAATAGATTAGACAGAGTAGTAGAAAACGAATTGAAAACAAACGTTGCAAACCGATTCTCATGTGTATTGCATTTCCTTGATCCTTGAACTAGATAACAAAAACTACTTTTCTTTAAGTGGAAGAGCACAAAAATCTAAAGTTGAGGGAACAAGGGAGAAGACAGGAAAAAACTCTATTTGTCCTACCTTATTTTCTCCCTTCATAGGTTCCAAATTTAAAATAAAATTTAAAAAATGGAGAGCAATCCAATCACTAAAATCCTAACCTAATCCTAATAATATGTAATCCTAATACAAATCCAGAAAATCAGATTATGCAGAATCTGGGAATTGAAAAGATACCCTAATTTAGAGAAAGAGATATCTTAAATGATAATCACATAATTTCCCAGAATGAATGTGTAACTTGCACCTTGAGTTCGACCCCAGAATTCGTGCCTGTTTGACTGCGTGGTCTGAAGGTGAATTAAAGCCCTGGATGTTAGCTTTTAAATGCCACTGGAATGAGTCTAATCAGATATTTGTGGACCGAGATATGATCCAAACACTGTACACTGGTCATTGCCTCCTTTCACTTCCAGTTTAGGCCCAATTCTAGCTCTAGATGTTAAGATTCAGCCTCTGATTTCTCATGAAAATTGTAGGCCTTTCTCTTATCTTTCCTACAAAGCAAGAATTACATTAAAACGAGGTGTAGAGCTCAAGGTATAACCCTAATACTAACACTATCAGAATATGCGCTATGCTGAAATAATTGAATTGAGGCCTAATCAAGACTCAAATAGAAAAAGTGGTCCAAATCAATTCAATTATGCATAAAAGAAAGTTAATGTACAAAATAGGAGGGAAAATATATATATAAAAATTCATTTCATCAGTGTCCAGCCACTCGTTCTGTATATATAGACTTTGTTGTAACCTATTTTGATCAAAGAAATGAATGGTACCATTCTACAGTATTTTACCGTCACATTGTAGTGCATCACATGATATCAAGTTTATGGTCTTTAAGATCTGTTTGAAAGAGCTTATGAAAAATAATGATTCTCATAAGCTGTTTTTTGGGTTATTTCAGTAAGCTTGTTGGTATAGTTTATCAAAATAAACTGTTTTTAGCATATCCCAACATGCTTCATTGTTAAATTTACGAAATAAGTAATCATTTTTAAAAGAGCTTATTAAATAAGCAGTTATCAAAACACACCCTTAGTCTCTGCTCTCTCCCTTTCCTCCCTTTACAGCTAAATCCAATAATTTCAGCATTTCTATTTCTATACAAAAGAAAATAAATTTATGAAGTAAAAATTGGTCTAAAAGCCATGGATGGGTATATAAATACAAAGACAGGCAGAGATGTCCTAAAGAGACAGAGAGAGCACTTGAATATGGGGAATATTGAATTGCATGCACCTCATGAAGTAATTTGAGTAAACAAGTTACTTTCAGAAAATGTTTTGTGCAAAGTGATATAAGAGATAGATTGTAATTATTTATTTATTTTGAATTCAGAGAATCTGATTCCAACCCTGAAAATGATGCTGATGTGATTGAGAAGACTGAAAATGCTCTAAGAGATTCTTCAAAGTCATCTACTTCAGTGAATCATCAAATATGGTCCATATTTGAAGGACTCTGGCTTATATTATCATCAACTTACCTGTTGCATGTATCATTGTTCATCTGGCTGAGTGCAGTTGTCTCTTCACTCTTCTACTTTCAGGTTTGGCAATGTCCTGTGATACCTACAATCTTTGGTTTTCATTATCAGTATTTAGAACATGTGAAAAATTTTATATTTTTATAAAGCTCTATTGCCCACCAAAATTCTACTGCCAAATTTGCTCTTCTGATAATTATCTGAAAAGACATGGCGAAGTACAGGCCAATAAAAGGAGTGTTGACTTGTATATTGAGTTTCACGGTCCAATCCTGCTGGTGTTATATAATTATTTCATTTCTCCCCTTGATTTTCACTTTTAATCCTTCTTGTCTTGCGCTAATCATTTGATGCTGCTCATGATCTGTTTATTCAGAGAGACTATTTTGGTACATTCTGAGATGTTATATACTGATTTTGATTCTCTGTTTTCATTGCCTCATTAATTCGTGTTCAACTTTTTGCTGTTTTAGAATGATTTCTGTTTACAATATGTAGAGGGGCTGCAGACCTTTGTTGCACTTGTGTTTATGATTTAGGTGTTTTTTTTACACCCTCCTTTTTAGTATATTTTCAGTTTTACGGTTATTGTAGATATTAAGAGAGAAAGAGCATAGAGAGAGAGACAGATTAGTGTGCTGAAATTGGATACTCTATAATGTGTAGAGACCCTTATATTTATAAGAATATATATGTAATCCTACTGAGTCAAGCCCATTATTATAATACTAAAATAAATCCTAATCCTAATAAGTCTATTCTAACTACTCATAAAACTCCCCCTCAAGCTGGAGCATAGATATTAATCATGCCCAGCTTGTTACAAATATAATTACTATATGTCCCATTTAAAGCTTTTGTAAACACATCTGCTAGTTGGTTAACTGTCCTAACATGAGAGATGGATATAAGCTTCTGCTGAACTTTTTCTAGAATAAAGTGACAGTCTACATCAATATGTTTCGTCCGTTCATGAAAAACTGGATTTGAGACAATGTGAATCACTGCTTGGTTGTCACACTAAAGTTGCATAGGCTTAGTGCTACCAAATCCTATCTCTTCCAGCATATGTTTCAACCACATTAACTCACAAGTAGTTTGAGCCATCGCCCTGTATTATGATTCCACACTTGATCTTGAAACAACGTTCTGCTTCTTACTTTTCCACGAAATTAAATTACCTCCTAAGAACACACAGTATCCGGTAGTAGTAGATTTTTGTCCATAGATCCTACCCAATCAGCATCAGAAAACGCTTTTATCTGTGTATGTCCATGATCTTTGTACACAATTCCTTTTCCTGGTACTTTCTTCAAATACTTCACAATACGGATTAGTGCTTCCCAATGAGTATTCGTCAGAGATGACATAAACTGGCCAACAACAATCACTGGAAAAGCAATATCCAGCTTTGTGATAGTCAAGTAATTTAGCTTGCCTACTAATCTTCTATATTTTGTGGATTTGCAAAAAGAACTCCATCTGCTGTCAATTTTACTCCTGGCTCTATAGGTGTCTCACATGGTTTAGCTCCTTTTAGTTCGGTCTTAGTCAATAAGTCTAAAACATATTTTCTCTGTGAAAGGAAGATTCCTTACTTGGAGTACATGATTTCAATACCCAAGAACTATTTTAGAATTACTAAGTCTTTTGTCTAAAACTTGGTTTGAAGAAATTTCCTTAGGTTGCTGATTTATTTTTTGTCGCTACCTTTAATAACAATATCATCAACATAAACAAGTAAAATACAATTGTGGTTAGTCTATTTGTAAAACGCTGTATGATCACTCTCACTCCTCACTAATCTAAATTCTAGAATCACGTCACTTAATTTCTCAAACCATGCTCTAGGTGATTGTTAAAAGCCATATAATGACTTTTTTAAATGACATACTCTTCCACACTTCGCCTGAGCAACAAAGCCAGATGGTTGCTTGATGTACACCTCCTCCTATAAGTCTCCATGTAAAAATTCATTCTTGACATCTAGCTGGAATAATGACCAATGATGTATAGCCGCAAGAGAGATGAAGATGCGAACAGATGAGAGTTTAGCAACTGGAGAGAATGTATCAGTGTAGTCAACGCCGTAAGTTTGGGCATACCTGTTATTATAATACTAAAATAAACCCTAATCCTAATACGACTATTCTAACTATTCATAACAGTTATTTAATGCATAACAGAAATCTAGCTCATCATTGCCACATCACTGCCATGTCATTATTTTTCATTTTTTATTAAGTAAAAATTAATATTTGCAAAAAAGTCTCTAAATAATTCAACCTTATTTTCTCATCAACCCCTTCCCGTTTTCCCTATAAACCCCAATTAAAAATCCCAACTCATTGGAATCCTCCCAAATTAACTGCTGTGAAGCTTGAAATTGAGATCTTGCACAGCAAAGAAGGCACGAAACCCTTCTTCAACGTCATCGGTTAGAGTTCTCATTTGTCCTCCGTCATCTCGTCCCTCATCCTCTGACCATCCCTCAGCCTCTGTGCAGCTCCCTCGCTCCTGAATTCCTTGAAAACCTTTTTTTCCTCCACTATCATCTTCTTCAAGCCCCCTCTATTTTCAAGGTCCCTCACATCATGTTGTTCCATCAAACAACGATATCAAATCCAATCACATATTCACCTCTTTGGTCTTTACAAAGACACTTGCTCTCAAAACTTGTTTATGTTTGTTCCCTCTCTCTTCAAAAACCTTAGCCACATGCTCACACTTGTTCACCACTCCTCCAACCCATCACCCATTTCATGGAACATTCTCATCAATGGTTTTGTGGAAATTATGATTTAAATGGTTCAGCTTGGGGTGGTGTTTTGGAATTATGTAATTATAGTAATGCTTTAGAAAATTTAGTATCTTTGTAATTACGGTAATTATGTAAATGTATATTCTGTATTAATAATCGATATTATAAATCTATGCTGTATATTCAAGACACATGGATTCATCCCATGTTTCTCATTCTTCTTTGCTAGCAATAATAAAAATAATATTCCTATTTATTTACAATTATTCTCAACAACTTTAATAAATTAGGCTTGGTGGGGAAGGGGAACCAATTTGTAGTTTTTTTATATAAGGACCCTATTAAGATGTCCCACATTGGCTAGGACTAGAGACAAAATACTCCTTATAAGGGTTAAGATAATCTTCCTCCTATGGGAGTGAGTTGGCTTAAGTTTTTTAATATGGTATTAAAGCCTATTTAATTTGAATGATGGACTATCCACAGATGTCCAGTCCTAGGCATGAGGTGTGTGTGTTAAGATGTTCCACATTTGGCTAGGGCTAGAGTTAGAATACTCCTTATTAGAGTCAGAATACTCTTTATTAGGGCTAAAACGAAATGTAAGTCAATCATGTGTGTGTGTTTAATTTAAATTTGTTTACCCTATTTCCAATCGTAAGTAGGATCTTGATTTTAATCACCTTGAGTAAGCTGTTAATATATACAGATATCAATCTATCCACACAAATTCTTAATGCACTCTTTAAGCAAAAATATTGAGTTTTGAGGGATTATTCCCCAATGTGATATTTATTATTACATGATTTAAGCTTTTTGAAGCACTGATATATCCATACATCATATCTCCTCTGATGTTTCACAGTTTGTGATTGCAGAAAGTGAGTGTAATTGCCACCACAGTGACTAGCTCTCTTGGCAGAAGAAAATTGTTTGCGCAGATAAATAGCTTCATTGCAGTTTTTATTCTTGTTGGACAACTGTCCTTAACGGTAAGCTATTCTCAAAATGACTGTTCTTCTGTAGGGTATATTCAACTTACTCTTAGAAGTAGTACCAATTTCTAATAATAGTATCTGAAAAGGGTGTTGGACTTGGAGATTTCTGTGAATTTGCTTTGTGAATTGCGCTCAGCATGCTGGTATCTGTATACATGAAGGAATAATTACAAGTTACAACTTGTATGTACAAGAGCCTTATTTATAGGAGAATCTTGTAGGGGATTATAACCCACTTTAGGGAACTTGCAGCGATTGGTCATGGGAGAAGAAAGCAGCCCACAGTCTTCCGTGTTGATCTTGACAAGATCTCAAATGTATTTACAATGAGTGAGAAGAATAGAACCAAGAGATAGATGTTTTACCTCAGTACCACAAAAGAAGTCATGTTTAGCTAGTTGTTTCAAAGCAAAATTACAGTTCATATCGTTAATAAGATTTTTGATCAAAGACTTAGAATTTCCAATTATAATAATATCATCAATATACACAAACAAATAGACCATTGAGAGGGGCATTATTGACATCAAGCTTTTCTAGAGAGTCCAGGAGTGAGTCAAAGGAAGAGTTAAAATGATTCCAACAGTAATAGGTTTAATAATAGAACAAATTTCATGGTAATCAAAACTATATTGTTGATGAAAGCCTTTGGCTACCAACTGGGCTTAAAAGTTGTTAATGGTTCAATCTGGATTCTCGATGATTTTGAAAACCCATATTTCCAATGTGTTGTAGATTTGGGGGTAGAAGAACTAAAGTCCAAGTATTATTTCATATTAACGTGTCATACTCATCCATTGTAGCTGATTATCAAGGGGAATCTGCCATGGGCCGTTTGGTACTTTTAGGTTTTGATAGAACTTCCTCTTGTTATTAGAATTAAGCAAATTATAGGGATGATCCCTGAGTACAAGTAGCGAAAAGAAAACAATAGCAGCAAGCAATCAACACAAATGATGATCCTATCCTATGACAGCAGCCACCCTGATTACCCCCAAAAATTCTCCTATCCCATCTCCTCCTTTCAACCCCTCTAATATCCATTCCCGGGCTAGATTCCCGTATCTTTCTCCTCTCTCTTTTCTTGACACGTATGCAGTTTGTTAAGGTCCTGCTTAACCGTTTTCATTCCAGCATTCCCTATTTTGCCCTTCCTCCGCTGATATGTCTTCAGTGGAGGCCCTTTTTGTCCAGGCCCATCAATACTTCCCCCAACGAGTTGCACCTTGTCCTCAAGGTGAAAATGGGAAAAAGCTACCTGAAGTAACTCGAAGTCCTCCCATGTTTTTTCCTCTTCTGGCAATCCTGCCCACTTAATGAACACTTCCCGACTCCAATTTAACAACGGCCAAATTGCTCACACTTCCTCTAGCTCAGCTTGTAATACCCACTCCTCTGTCAGAAAAGGTGGAAGTATTTGACTAGATTGATCAGTGGGATGGGCCCTTTTGAGTTGTGAGACATGAAAAATTGGGTGCAGCCGTGATGTCTTAGGCAACAGGAGTTTGTAAGCAACAACACCAATCTTTTCCAAGACCTTGAGTGGGCCAGAAAACTGGGGACTAAGCTTCTCATTCATACGCCTTGCCAATGATCTCAATTTATAGGGCTGAGCCTTTAAATAAACCGTCTCCCGCTTGAAATTCCACCTCCTGCCTGCCTTTGTCAGCCTGTTCCTTTATTCGTACTTGAGCCTTTATTAGATTTTGCTTCAATTGTTCTAAGACTTTGTCCCTCATCACTAGTAACTGGTCAACCTCATCAGCAACTGTACTGTTTCGTTTGGTGACTTCTGTTTGACCGTTGGTTTAGGGGTGGTAAGCAGAGCTGAATTTCAGTTTGGTGCCCAATAAGCGAAATAATTCTTGCCAAAATGTACTGAGAAAAATCCGATCTCTATCCGATACAATGGAATTAGGAAAATCATGAAGTCTAACAATCTCTTTCACAAAAACAGCAGCTACCTCTTTGGCCAAATAGGGATGAAGCAAGGGAAGGAAGTGAGCATACTTACTTAGCCTGTCCACCACGACCATGATTGTATCAGCCCCTTTCGTCTTGGGTAAACCACCATTGAAATCCGTGGAGATTTCTTCCCACACGTGATTTGGAATGGGTAATGGTTGGAGTAGTCCCGCTGGCTTAAGTGTCTAAGACTTGTTTTGTTGACAAATGTGACAGGCCACCACAAATTTCTCTACATCTTGCTTCATCCCATTCCAGCAAAATGCCATAGCCAGCCTTTTGTAGGTGCGAGTCATTCCAAAATGACCTCCCCAAGGGGATGAATGAAATTCCGCCAGTAACAGTGGCACTCTAGGGGAACTCCTGGGTAACACCAGCCGCTATTTGAACCAGAGGCATCCCTTGGAGACAGAGTAATGTGGGTGGGAACGTGGGTTGAGGATAGTTTCTTGCATAATCATCCTCAGTTATTCATCCCCCAAAACTTCCTCAGCCAGCCCCAGCAAATCGGAATTGGTGACCATAGAAATGGCATGACAATGCACTACCCTAGATAAAGCGTCCGCTGCCTTATTTTCAAGGCCAGGTTTATATTGGATTTCAAAGTCAAACCCAAGCAACTTAGTTACCTATTTCAGTTGCTCTCCTACCAAGACCCTTTGCTCTAAGAGGAATTTCAGACTCCTCTGGTTCATCCGGATGATAAAATGCTGACCCATCAAATATTGTCGCTACTTTTGCACCGCAAACACTATGGCCATGAGCTCCCGTTCATACATTGACTTCACTTTATTGCGGTCTGATAGGGCCTGACTAATAAAAGTCAAAGGTCGACCGTGCTGCATTAAGACTGCCCCAATACCATATCCAGAAGCATCAGTTTCTATCACGAAAGGTAAGTCAAACTGTGGCATAGCCAATGTGGGAAGATCCTCCATGGCTGACTTCAATTGCTCAAAAGCTTGCTGAGCTTCCTCTGACCACCCGAAATTGTTCTTCTTTAGGAGCTGTGTGAGGGGTTTAGCGATCACTCCGTACCGACGTACAAAACGGCGAAAATACCCTATCAAACCCAAGAATCCTCTCAGCCCCTTAATATCCTTGGGAACGGGCCAGTTCCTCATCGCTGCAACCTTTGTTGGATCCGCTGATATGCCTTTTGCTGAGATGATATGCCCCAGGTACTCCAGCTGTCTTTCACCTGAGCTACACTTGTTTCCATTGACCCATAATTTGTTACTCCTCAGCACTTGAAAAACTACACGTAAATGGTCAATATGCAAAAAATGGTCAGGGCTGTATACTAAGATATTGTCAAAAAATACCAACACAAATTTATACTGGTATGGCCTAGAAATGTGGTTCATAAGGGCCTGAATGTCGAAAACCCAAAGGGCATCACCAAGTATTCGTAGTGTCCTTCATGTGTCCGAAAAGCAGTTTTATGGTTGTCTTCTTCCTTTAGGCGAATCTGGTGGTATCCGGATTTGAGGTCGAGTTTGGAAAAGATATTTTGTCTCAGACTAGCCTAAAACTTGGTCTCATTGGGTTCCATGGGCAGAATTACTTGGTCTCATTGGGTTCCATGGGCAGAATTATGGTATAATACCACATTCCATGTATCCACTGGTACGACCCCTTTTGAAGTGGTTTACAGGTGGAAACCACCTACATTGGTCCGGTTTTCACAAGGGAAGACACGTGTTGAGGCTGTGGCAGCAGAATTGGTGGATAGAGATGAGGCTTTGCAACAGCTACAGTATCATTTACTGCGTGCAAAGCAGCAAATGAAAAAATTTGCAGATAAAAAGCGCAGATTTCTTGAGTTTAATGTTAGTGAGTGGGTATTCATTAAGCTGTGCTCTCATAGACAGCAAACGGTAGCATGCCGAATTAATCCCAAACTCGCTCCATGCTATTATGGTCCTTTTCCTATAATAGGAGCTGTCTCTTATAAAGTGAAGTTGCCTGATACAGCTAAAGTACACCCTTTGTTTCACATTTCACAATTAAAAAAAGCTGTGGGAAATTATGCTGTTGAATCATCTCTGCCAGCAGCATTGGAGGTGGAATTGGATGACATTGAAGAACTAGAAACTGTGATGGCCTCAAGAGAAATTGTTCAAGAAAACCAGCGAATTAAGCAATGGTTGGTGAAGTGGAAAGCTAGAGCTGAGGATGAGACAACGTGGGAGGATGAAGCATTGCTCCAAAGTCAGTTTCCTTCATTCCGCCTTGAGGACAAGGCTGTTGCTGAAGAGGGGGGGCAATGATAGGGTGCCAAATATGGCAAATATTATAAGGAAGGGTGATAGTCCTGTGTTACAAAAGCCCAATGTGTGGAGAGTCTATACTAGGAGACAGAAAATGGAGGCCAGGGAATAATGATTAGGTAGTTAGAAAGGAGGTGACGTGGAAGGAATCTAGGAAATAGAAGAATTCTGGTATATAGGGAGAGAAGGGAGTGGGAGTGAGGTAGGCAAGAATATTGTGGGTTTTGGTAAGGAGAGTTTACTCTCTGGAGGAGTCAATTACTGACTCTGGGAAATCTGCCTTAGCATTGTAGAGCTTGAGCCCTTTTACTCAGTTTTACTGCATAATCTGATTGTTAACACAACCTATATAATTTGTTTTCTATCAGAATTCCTCTCATACCTTCTTGTTTTCTCTCATCTCAACATGGTATCAAGAGCCTAACAAGAAAGAAACCCTAATTCGTTCTTTCCCTGTGGGCCCACTGCTCATAGGTGTTATTTTTTTAGAAACCGTGTCTCTCTTATTTCTGTTTTCTTTCTGGCCGCACTGTTCATTGTCCGGCGACTTTTCTGGCGGCCACTGTTTACTGTCTGACGATGTTTTTGGCGGCCTTGTTCCTCACCGGCGACGTTTTCGGTCGTCATTGTTCACAACGGTGACTTTTTAAGTGTGCCTTTTTTGACCAGCTTCCCACCACCGCCGCTGCTGTTTACCTTGTTTTACCACTGTTTGGTTATGTTTCTCTTTCTTCTAGGTTGACCTATGGCGACTCCTGCTCCTCCCAACATCCCATCAGTGGTCTTCAATGATTTCCTTTGTTGGTATGCGGATTGTCAGGCCTCTGGTTCCACTGCTTCTATTATGTACATGGGTAATTCTTTTGTTGGTAATTCTTATTCCCCATTTCTTGGTCTATGAGTGTTTGATTCAGGTGCCACTGATCATATTACCGGTAACAAATCCCTCTTTTTCTCCCTTTCTACATCTGGATACTTACTTTTTGTTACTATGGTTAATGGGTCTCAAACACAATCTCAAGGTGTTGGCACTGTCTCTCTTCTTCCATCATTATTTATCGGTGATGATGGTGCTTTTCGAGGTGTTTAAAAGATTTGTCGTAAATCCTCATCAAAATTTAAACAAATTAATGTAGTACTAGGGTAACCCTAGATTGTCTCCCATGAACATTGGTTATTAATCTTCATTAAACATGTTGAAGGCATTAATTAAACAAGCAATTAAAATGGGGGGTTTTGTGATTTCAAATTAAAATAAAGAGCAATGAGCAAATGAGTTTAATTAATTCAAATAATAGAAAACAGCAATCCTTAGTTCATCCACATAAATTCTATCCTCATTCCACTCAAGATTTAACATTCATCCTCTCTTTCATGAATTAGGTTAATTTAACAAGCGAAAATCAACCTTATGGTCTCAACGAAATTACGCAATTTGTTAGGCTCTAATCTCTCATCCCAAAATTACGCAACCTTAGAATTAAACCTAGGATTAAGCAACCCTTAGTTTAGAATCTCCTTAAAACGAAATTAGAGTTAATTGAGCAATACCCCCCTCATTCACCATTAATTCAATTCAAGAGATAAGGAAGAAGTAATTCATGAAAGAAAGGAATTATATTATCATTAAATTTAAGGAACTCAAGAACCCATGTGAATTCACTAAGGATTACACAAACTTAGCCCTCCATGGAAATGGGGGTCAAAAACGCAATTGGAAAATGCAGAAAACTCATTAACATTAATGTAAAAGCAAGAGAAATGAGAAACCAAACCCTAGGTTGGACCCTTGGCTGTCACCCAAGGTTGCCCTAAGCTCTGGAAAATATTCTAAATTGAGTAAAGAAGAGAAAAAGGTTCAAAAAGTGTAAGCAGTCCCTACCCTAATTTGGTAAAAATCTATTTATACTAAAGTTGGCGCCGCCCAAAGTAATTACTCTCATTCTTTCATAGTAACCACGCGCAGCATCAGTTGGATTTTTCCTCTCTGGAGTGATTACTATGAATATTCATAGTAGTTACGCACAGCACTGGACATTTTGAGTCTCTGGAGTGATTACTATGAATATTCATAGTAGTTACGCGCATGTTTGGTTGATTCTGGGCTGCTGTAGTTATCACTTTGAAAGTGATCACTTTGGTCCCTTTGCTGGAAGTGGCTTGCTGTAGTTATCACTATCAATATTGAAAGTAGTTACTTTCACCTAAAATTCCTCAAAATTCAATAATTCTTCAAAATAAGCTTGGGGATTCTTGCCATATTATTCAAATGATCAAAATATGTAAAATAAACTATCTAAATTCATGTAAATTAACAAAAAACTAAGAAAGCTATATTATTTAGCCTAATTGGAATATTCATCTTATTTACACTATCTAAATCTATTCTTTTCTATAAAAAGTAATAAATGATGTATAAAAATGTAGTAAAATGTGGACTCATCAATCGGCAATGTCTTATATGTTCCTGGGTCTCTTTTTAATCTTTTATCTATAAGTCTGCTAACTTGCACTGGCTGTGAGTCACATGGACTTTATCAACTCCAACCCGTCACACATGCTGGTTTGGCGCTGGATTTCCCTCTTCTTTCACATTCTAGATTAGGACATTCGAGTCTTCAGAAACTACAATTATTGGTGTCAAGTCTCTCTCAGTTATCTACCCTTTCTTATGAGTCGTGTAAACTAGGAAAACATGTTTGTAGTTCTTTTTCGAGTTGTCAAAATAAGCAAGTCACATCTCTTTTTAGTTTAATTCTTTCTGATGTTTGGGATCCTAGACGTACTGTTTCTACTTTAGGTTTTAGGTATTTTGTTAATTTTATTAATGATTATTCTCGTTGCACGTAGTTATTTTAAATGAAAGATCGTTCTGAATTATTTTTTATTTTTCAAATTTTTTCTAATGAAATTAAAGTTTAATTTGGTCTTTTAATTTGCACTTTGCATAGTGATAATGCTAAGAAGTACTTGTTATATTCCTTTCAAAATTTCATGGCGTCTAATGGCATACTTCATCAAACTTCTTGTGCTCATACTCCTCAACAAAATAGGGTTGCTGAAAGAAAAACAGACACCTTGTTAAAACTACTTGCACTCTACTCTTATATAGTTGTGTCCCACATTGTTTTTGGGGAAATGTCGTCTTGATAGCTTGTTACCTTATCAATCGGTTGCCTTCTTCTGTTCTCCATAACCAGGTATCGCACTCTATCTTGTTTCCTAAACAGCCTTTGCATCCTATACCTCCCCATGTGTTTGAGTCCATATGCTTTGCCCATATTCTTAGTCCAAGTAATGACAAATTCTCTCCTCGTGCCCACAAATGTGTTTTTGTTGGTTGTAGTCGTTCTCAAAAGGGTTATAAGTGTTACTCTCCAACTTTTACACGTTATTTTATATCAGCTGATGTTACTTTCTGAGTCTGTTCCCTTTTTTAGTTCTCCTACAGTGTCTGAATTAGAATCAGAGTCTGTCATACCTTTACCACCAGTTCCAGTTGTTTTTCACCCACCAGAGGTCACACCTCCTATTGATGACCCTCCTCTACGTCTGTTACAATTGTACTATCATTGGCTACCTTTGCTCACTGTTGACATACCATGTGACCCTCCGCCAGCCCTATCACCCGACACTGATCTCCCTAGTGCACTTCGAAAAGGAATACGTTTCACTCATGACCCTTCTCCTCATTATGCTACTTTATCATATCATTGTTTATCTTCTTTCCAAAATATATGTCTTTCTTCTTTGTCCTCTATTTCTATTCCTAATAATACAACAGAAGCTCTCTCACATCCTGCTTGGCGTTAAGTAATGCTTGATGAAATGTGTGCGCTTCACAGCGGTGGTACTTGGGATCTTGCTCCTCTTCCTTCAGGTAAATCTATTGTTAAATGCAGGTGGATATACATTGTCAAAGGGGGTCTTGGTGGTCAAGTGGATCGCCTTAAAGCTCGTCTTGTGGCAAAAGGCTATACTCAGATCTTTGGCTTGGATTACGGAGACACATTCTCTCCAGTCGCTAAAATGATCTCTGTGTGCTTGATCTTGTCCACAACTGCCATCTACCCCTGGAACCTTCATCAACTTGACATTAAGAATGCATTCCTTGATGGCGACCTTGCTGAGGAAGTTTATATGGAGCAACCTCCTGGCTTTGTTGCTTAGTGGGAGTTTACTGGATTAGTTTGTCGTCTTCAGAAATCCTTGTATGGTCTTTAAAAAGTCTCCAAGAGTTTGGTTTTATGGATTCATCATTGTACTCAACCAGTTTGTGATGATTCGAAGTGAAGCTGATCACTCAGTTTTTTATCACCACTCAGCCACCGGATGCTTTACTTTGTTGTGTATGTGGACGACCATCATGGCATTACATAGTTGAAGAACCACTTATGTCACTATTTTCAGACAAAAGACCTCAGAAAACTTCGATATTTCTTAGGAATAAAGGTGGCACAATCCAAGCATGGTATTGTAATTTCCCAAAAGAAGTATGCATTGGACATATTGACAATTAACCAGGTACCGCACTCTATCTTGTCACCTAACACAAGTAGATGAGTGTGATGGAGGTGACTTGAACCCATACTTTGACAATTAATATTGCTCAAAAGTCAGAACAGATATCTAGCCATGATAGTGGCGGCAAAATGAAAAAACCTTGGAGAAGAACAAACATAGCAGCTGGTCATACATGCTCAGATTCCAACATGAAAACATTGAGAGATTTGGAGATTTCTATGAATTTGCTTGAGTGACATTGCGCTCAGCATTTTGCTATTTTACATAAATGGAGGAATAACAACTATTTATAGCAACAACAAATAATAATAAGAGAATTGTTTCCTAGGAACTTATTCTTTGCGCTACATTAATTGAAGTAACCATTTCCAAAGGGTAAATATTATTAACAATAATAATAAATAAACTCATGTATAGTTTTGATTCTTTGATGTTTGTATTATTGATGCATATTACTAATATATAGCATGTATATATTTTTCTCTATCTAGTACAGGGACGCATTCTAACTTCTGCTGGGATTACCACAGCTATATGCTCAGCACCTTTTGTTGGTCTCTTAAATTTAGTCGCTCTAGCTGTTTGGCCAGACTGGGCGGCGGTTGCTATTTGTGAGACGCTAAGAAAGGTTGTCCTCTGAACTTACAACTATTTGTTCCTTCATTAATAGAATTAAATAATTTACAATGCATCATGTTAGAATGTTTATAGTTAAGTAAATGTAAATGTCTAGGTTAATTGTATGCTATAAATATCAAGTCGGTGGAGTAGTTGAAATCAATTTATGGTGTATGATTGTCAATCAAAGACTGCTTGTGATAATCAAGCAACATTACATTTTGACTCCAATCCTATTTGCCATGAGAGCACAATTACATTGAGGTAGATGGTCACTTTAGTAACATCCAATCCTAAGATATCCCCACTATTCCATTTTGAGCAAGACCAACACATTTTCTTGCAAGACCATCTGCGTTGGGGGATTTTTCCAGTGAGACCACTTGTTCTATTTTTATTCTCTATTCTATTTGGACTTCTAAGAACCCCACCAAATGATTGAAATTTGAAATCTTCAGCATATATATGTGTAGCATAATCTAAATTTGGTGCATTTTAAATTTTCAGAATAGTTGTCATCCCGCTATTTCACTGTAGTATTTTTGAGGTCGGCCACTTCGCGCCACTATCCGAGATTAACTATTATGCTTGTGATGACAGTTTCTTCTACATTGACGAGGTAAATGCATCTTGCAGTAGAAGACAGAGTGATTAGCTTCACTTTGAGTCATACTAAATTGTTGAAACACAGTAGTAAACTAGCCAAACCATGCCTGAGGACATTGTTGAAGACTATATAGAGACTTATGCAGTTGACAAGCAAGTCTTGAAGACTCCCTTTGAGCAATGAAACTAGAGGTTACTCCATATAGATTTCCTCCAAAAGGTTTCCATGTAGGAAAACATTCTTGATGTTTAATTGATAGGCCAATGACGAATGTCTGCCATAGATAAGAACAAGCGAATAAAGAAATCTTGGCTATAGGAGAGAATGTGTCACTATATTCCATGCTAAAAATCTGGGTGTAACCTTTGGATACAAGATGAGCCTTTAATCGATCTACTTTACTGACAAGACCAAATTTAGCAGTGTAAACCCATTGGCAACCAACATTAGACTTTCTAGAAGAAAGAGGAATAAGGTCCAAAGTACCACTGCATTATTAAAGTGCATAAATCTCATCAATCATGACTTGTCTCCAGCCAAAATGAGCACGGGCATCACCTGTAAACTCAAGAATGGAAACATAAGACAAAGAAGAGAGACGTGTAATGGGAATGAAATAAACGATGATAACACTTTGAAAGAAAAACTATAGAACGAAGAATTTGAATAATTCTGTATTTGATTGATAATTATACAAGGGACTTTTACACTATATTTATTGGCTAATTCTACCCTAATTATAGTAATTACAAGAGGCTCATATCGAATAAAAAAAACTGCACAAATCATGGCTAATCAATAATGTCCTAATTACAGAAAATACAGAAGCAAATCTGGCCCAATTATGGTTATCAAAATCTATCTAAATTATGGTAATCACAACAATAACTGATATTAACATAGTGAAGAGAAGGATTACAGGTAGAATATATACCTTTATGAATCACAATGTGAAGGTCTAACTTAGGATGTTAGGCCAGAAGGGGTGGATGATGTGGCACCAAAGGTGAGTTAGTAGAGTCGGCAATAGGGTGATCATTTGTTGATGGTGGAGCTAGAGAGAGTGGTTTGTGTTGGTAAACCTGCAACGGGTAAGCTGGAAGTGAAGTAAATAGTGTCCTCTTTAGAAAAATGAACAAATATTGGGAAGAAATCATCTGAGGACTCAGAAGAAGACAGAACTCTAAAACATGTCACATTCACAAATAGAAAAATTGATATAAAATAATAATGAAGAGCAGGGGAGTAACACTTGTACACCTTCTGAGATCGTGTAACTAAAAACAACACATTTTTTAGAGTGAGCAAAAAGTTTGTCTAACTCAGGACTTATATTGTGAACAAAATTAATAGAAACAAAGACCTGAGTAGGTAGGAGATGAAGAGGTTGAAGTGGATACATGACCTGCTGAGTTATTTTTCCATATAAAACGAATGAAGGTGTCTTATTAATTAGGGAACAAATGGTAAGGACAACATCACTCCAAAAACGATGGGACATGTGCATAAAGCAAGATGGTATGAGCAATCTCAAAGATGTCTACTTTTACATTAAGCAACCTGTTGAGGAGTACTTGGACAAGACATCTGATGAAGAATAATCACATGTGAGGCCATGAAAGTACAAAAGGAAATAGACAATGCCAAATCTAGTTTTTATTTCATTATAGAAAGACTGAGAGATAGAAAACAAATCAAAACAGACCATTAAATAAAGCCAAGTACATCGAGAAAAATAATCAATATATATAACAAAGTATTTGATTTTAAACTACAAGTTACATGACTATGATGCCAGATATCTAAATGAACTAAAACAAAAGGAGACAAAGTCTGACTAAGGACATGTCTAGGAAAAGAACTATGAACATGTTACCTAATTTACGACTCACTAAAGAAGACTTAGAGAGACCCAAGCATGAATCATGAGAGGAGTGTCCACTGCAACCAATATGAGAGGATTGTCAAAGCTAGTACAAAGCCTAGGTGTTAAACATGACGAGGTCTGTGGAAATGGAGTTAAAAAATAGATCAAGGGGATATGGAAACAGTGGAAGGGGAGACAATCGTGTGGGTGTTGGATCGGGATGGGGTATAAAACCCAATTCCACTCAAGTGACCCGTAATATGCCAGGAACTAATTGGAGTGGGTCTAAGGACTTTAAAATGAGTGGGGTGAATAGTAACAGTATTGGGTCTGGGCCCAATTCTCGCGTGGAGGGTCATGAAAAAGGGAACACCGGGCCTAAAAGCAGGGGAATTAGACACATCACTTACCAGGAGCTTTTGGATCGAAGGCAAAAAGGGCTATGTTATAAATGTGGAGGTCCATACCACCCATTACATCAATGCCCAGATAAGGCTATTAGAGTTATGATGTTGGATGATACGGGAGATGAGGAGGAAGCCAACGCCTACAATCATGTGGATGACAATAAAGAAGACAAGGTAGATGAGGAATGTTCGGTGATGAGTCTGCAGAGCTTATCTGAGGAAAAAGTAGGGCAACCAAGGACACTAAAACTTGAAGGCACAATGAATGAGATTCCGTTATGCATTTTAGTTGACAGCGGCGCTACCCACAACTTCCTTTCGTGAAGACTTGTTGAAGTGTTAGGATGGGAGAGCGAGGGGACAAAAAACTTGCATATTTTGATGGGTGATGGCTACAAATCAGTCACGATAGGACTATGTCTTAACCTTAGGCTGAAACTGAATGGAGAGGAATTCCTCATTGATGCGTTTCTCTTCGACTTAGAGGACATTGATATGATCCTTGGCATGTCGTGGCTATCATCTTTGGGTGAGATGATCATTGAGTGGAATAATCAAACCATTAAGGTGAATCGTCAAGGCAGAGTGGTACCGTTGAAAGGAACTCTGCATTGTGACCCAGCACAGGATACTTTGAAAAGGGTAGTGGAGAGTAAGGGATCTAAAAAGGGGGAATTGATGTTGTCTTCAGTGGTAAGAGTGGAGGAAGGTGCTGTAATGCGGAGTGAGCATATCACAAGGGAACAGGAATCAAAGTTAAATAATTTGTTGAAGAAGTTTCAAGTGGTTTTTCAGGAGCCAACTGGCCTACCCCCCGCAAAGAGCCTCGATTCATGCGATCAATCTGTTGCCCGAACAAGGTCCAGTGAATGTACGGCCTTATCGTTACCCGCATCACCAAAAGGATGAAATAGAAAGGCAGATTAAGGAGCTGTTGAACAGTGGGGTTATTAGGCACAGTAACAGCCCTTACTCTAGTCCGGTTATATTGGTTAGAAAGGACAATTCCTGAAGAATGTGTGTTGACTACCATTCCTTAAATAAAGTAACAGTGCCTGACAAGTTTCCGATTCCCGTCATTGAGGAGCTATTGGATGAGTTGCATGGAGCGAATTTCTTCTCTAAGTTGGACCTGAAATCCGGATGTCATCAAGTTCGAATGAGGGAGGAAGATATACCAAAAACAGCGTTTCGCACTCACGAATGCCATTATGAGTACTTGGTCATGTCCGAACTCATGAATGCCCCTTCAACATTTCAAGCGTTAATGAATGAAATTTTTCGTGGGTTATTGCGAAGGTATGTCCTAGTATTTTTCAACGACATTTTGGTCTATAGTTCAAGTTGGGAGGAACACTTGTTGCATTTGGAATCAGTGTTGAATATACTGTCCCAAAATCATATGTTTGTGAATCAGAAGAAGTGTCAATTTGCGCAGGAGCGTATAAAGTATTTGGGTCATATAATCTCATAGCAAGGAGTGGCAGTGGACCCAGAAAAATTTAGAAGTGTGATCCAGTGACCGGTTCCCAAGAACATTAAAGGAGTGAGGGGTTTTTTGGGTTTGATGGGTTACTATCGGAAGTTCATCCGTGGGTATGGGAAAATCACAAAACCACTTAAAGAGTTGACAAAAAGAGAGGGTTTCCATTGGAATGAAGCTGCTCAAAGTGCCTTTGAAGAACTGAAAAGGTGCATTACAACAGCCCCAGTTTTAGCTTTGCCAAATTTTGATAAAGACTTTATTTTGGAATGTGATGCTTCGGGAATGGGAATAGGGGCAATCTTGATGAAAGATCATCGTCCTATTGCATACTTCAGCAAGGCCCTTGGAAACAAAAATTTGGCTAAGTCAACATACGAGAAAGAATTTATGGCAGTGGCTTTAGCCATACAATATTGGAGGCCGTATTTGTTAGGGAGGCATTTTGTGGTGCGCACAGACCATAAGAGCTTGAAACAATTATTGCAACAGAAGATAATCACTGGAAATCAACAAAATTGGATCGCGAAGCTGCTGGGCTACAGTTTTGACATTCAGTACAAATCGGGTGTTGACAATCGAGGTGTTGATGCTCTTTCCCGGAGGGATGAAGAAGAAGAGGGGGAGTTAAGAGCTTTAGCTTACT